CAGTAGCACCATTAGCAGTAGTATTAGCAGTAGCACCATTAGCAGTAGTATTAGCAGTAGTATTAGCAGTAGCACCATTAGCAGTAGTATTAGCAGTAGTATTAGCAGTAGCACCATTAGCAGTAGTATTAGCAGTAGCACCATTAGCAGTAGTACTAGCATGAACACTATTAGCATGAGATAAAGCAGTGTTTATGAGCCCTGGTCCTCAGAACAAACTCTCCTGCATGTATTAGAAGTGTTCCTGCTTCAGCTCAGCTGTGTTTAATTGAAACTGATTAACAGAGTTTTGTTGAACCTGAATCAGGTGCGTCAAACATGGAAACCCTGCAGGACCGTGTGCTCTGAGGACCTGAGCTGAAAAACACTGAAGGTTTCAGAGACTAAGGTGAGTTTGATAAACGTGATAAAAACTGGATTTTTGACTGGTTTTAAAGGTTTATCTTTGGCCTGTGCCTGAATGATAACAGATGTTGCAGGTAAACCTGCAGGTGTCTCCTCCTCACAGGTCACATGTTCTGAAGGTTCTACAGAATATTTACCCGGCTCCGCAGGTAGTCTGCCAGGTTCTTCCTTGTGAAGTTCGCTGCTGCTGCTGGACTGAGCTCGTAACCTGAAACCCAGGAGGGAAACATGAGACGAAACTTTAAACACCAGCTGTACGACCCGCTAACACCAGAACCTGAGGACAGAACCAGGTCAGAACCGCTCCACTAGGCCTGCTTACCGTTCCTCATTTTGTAGAGCTGGACGTTCTTCTGGATGTACTCTGCAAACTGGACCGTGTCTCCAGCCTCTCCCACACACAGCAGCAGAATCTTCTCACTCAGTTTGAACATCTTGTCGTAGTCTGAAACAAACAAACAAACAAACAAACAGCTGTGTTGATTATTCACAGAAAAACCAGCTGCCACTTCAGCTACTGTTTTATTCAGTTTGTGTAAAAATATGATTATTTTATTATTTAAACTTTAAAGACTATCAATACTGGAGTAAAAAGTTATATTTTGTATTTTACAAAATGTCAGAAAACGTCTTTAATCAACAGAAATAATATTTTTAAAATAATGAACTACAGTCTGTTTTAGTGTTTCTAGATTTAAATTTATTGAGCTGCAGTTATTGAAGACTTAAGAGTTTTCAGGTCGGTTTACAACTAGATTTGTTGTTGTTGTTGTTGTTGTTGTTGTTGTTGTTGTTGTTGTTGTTTTCTCTGAACTTGAAGCTTTAGGACCAGGAAACATGAAACCAATTAAACCAGTCTGACTTTCACTTTCACAGTCAGCAGCCTGAGTGTTCAAACTCAGCACATATTTAACTAGAAACCAAATAACAACACATTTATTCATCTTTCAACTAAACTATTTATAAAGTTTTGCTAGAATAGTGAAAATAAAACTTAAATTAGCTAGTTATTTTGAGCTAACGTCTTCTCGTTTTGCTGATAAATTGAAGAAAAAATCCTAATTATCATCAATGTTGTTCCGCGAAACAACAAGAATACACAAAGTTTTACGTGACACAAATATTTTATCATAAACAACAAAACCAGAGCGTTGTGAACCGGCAGAGCAGCTAATGCTAAGCTAACGAGCTAACGTACCGTGCTTCATCTGAATGATGCTGCTAGCAGCCACATTATCGGCAGCCACGAGCACAAAGTCCGGCCCCTGAATTCCGATTAAATACTCCATGATCCCCGACAAGCAAACTGTGAAAAATGACTGAAAACAGAGAAAACTGCAGCAGAACCTGAGTGTGACCAGTGTGGATTACACAGCAAAACTCAGAGGTAACTGACGCAGACTGATGACCTCACTGGATATGTGGGCGTCACCGCTGACGTCTTTACTGCGCGACTCGAGCGGGTAATTTTGAAAGCAGCGCCGTTGTTGTTGTTGTTGCGGGGAGACTTTTACCTGAGGAACCAAGTGAATCTTTATTTTTTACCAGGCTGGTTTGAGCATGAACGAAGCCGGGATGACTGAAGCGACCAGCGGCCCGCGGCCGAGGCGGTCTCCGCGGCTCGTTTCTCCACAAGCGGCTCCGCTGGAAAGCGACAACAAAATGGCGCTCGGAGCTAAGCGGCTCATCACCGTGAGGAAGATAGCGCCCAGAAAAACAGCAGCTCCYTCAGAACACGACAAGGAGAACACACCGAACCGAGCAGAACCCAACCAGGACAACACACCGAACCGGTCAGAACAGCACGTCCAGCAGAAAAAGCAGAAGCTCGGAACCCCGGACCCGGTCTCGGGCCGCAGGCCTTCGCCCTCCTCTGCTGGCCGGAAGAAGCAGCAGCCGCAGGCCCACGTGCCCTCCCCGATACTCCCCTCGACCCCACCGGTGTCCTCCCGGACCCAGCTGCCGGCTGCAGACCCAGAGGACCCGGTGTGGGCCCAGAAGGTCCGCCGGTCCTACACCAGGCTCAGCGACCGGTCCGTCCACAGCCCCGAGCCAAGAGAGACTTTATTCGGCTTCGAGAGGCTGAAGACCCCGGAGGTAGCCTCGAGCAGGACCGAACAGTCCAGGACCGCTCTGGAGGGTTCTGGGTCATCGTTCACGTCTCTGCTGGAGGCCGAGGAGTGCTGCACCGAACCGGACCCGAACATCCCCGGGGTGGCGGTGGTGAAGGAGCGGAGGAGGAGGCGGAAGGTGCCGCAGATCAACCCGGAGGAGCTGGACGCTCTGGCGGCCAGGATGAACCAGGAGTTCCGGGAGGCCGAGGAGTTCGAGCTGGTGGTGGAGTAGGAACCGAACCGAGCCGGGACAGAACCTGTGTCTCAGACTGTGGAAGTGTAATCATGTTTGTGTCGGTTCTGGACGGGTTTAAAGCCCAGACTGATGTTCTGTTGGACTCAACCTTTAGATTCAGTTAATTTTAACACGTTGAGACAAATAAAGAACTTTTTAACAGAACCTGTTCTGTTTGGATCAACTGGATTATAATCTGTGTTAATCTGGTTGTTACTCTTTCATGTTGATAATCTGAGCTGTAATCTGTAATCTGACAGATTAAAGGTTGTAAATGATCACTTTGTGTTTGATCTCTTTAGAACCATGTTTGTTTTTATCACAGTTTTACTTCCTGTTTGTCCACATGTTTGAGTGATGCAGGTGAGTCACACCTGTTACCTGAGGTGTTCACCTGCCTCCCAGCTGAGGGGGGGCACCCACTGTTTCCTCCTCTGCTCCTCCTCCTCCTGACTCTGCAGTTGTTTCTGGTTCAGCCTGACTGCTGGGTTAGAGCTCATCATTTGCATTCAGATTAATTATCTAATTACTGACAAATGTCCGGCGGCTCTCACACAGACACACACACCAACACACACATCACTAACACACACACACATCACTAACACACACACACACATCACTAACACACACACTAACACACACACACACTCGTCAGCTCTCTGTCTGTAATTATTTTAATCATTTCCTTTCATCTGGAGCGTTGCTGCCTCTCTCTGTGTTTGGAGGCCATTCTTAATTACCCTGCCAAGACGAGGGGGGGGGTGATCCAGAGGCTCAGAGGAAGCCCCCTCCTCTCTCCCCCCTTATCACAGACACACACAGGAATGGCCCGTGGGCCTCCACAGCTCTGACTGTTCCACTGACAGCAGGGGGGGGGTCACCAGTCTCCTGACAGCAGGGGGGGGTCACCAGTCTCCTGACCGACCCGGTTTGGACGGACCTGCTGCTCTCTGTCCATGAAGTCTCTTAACGAGTCTGTGACTCGGCCCTGGAGCAGGTCTCGTTAAGACGAAGCTCTAATTGGAAAACTGAAGTGAAAGTTTAATGAAAAGATGATTATCTCCCAGTTTATCTTCACTCCTCAGTTCCTGAGCTGCTTCATCCACGCTGGGAGGAGGAGGAGGGGGGGGGGGGCTCAAACCTCCCTTCAAACAACACAGTCCCTACAGAACCAGACCGGTCCAGAGTCTATGTGGGTCCTGAACCCTCAACCTGACTGAAGAGAGAGGGAACGATGGATGGATGAATATTGGATGATGGATGGATGAATGTTGGATGATGGATGGATGAATATTGGATGGATGATGGTTGGATGAATGTTGGTTGGATAAATGTTGGATGATGGATGGATGATGGTTAGATGAATGTTGGTTGGATGGATGATGGTTGGATGAATGCTGGATGATGGTTGGATGAATGTTGGATGAACATTGGATGATGGTTGGATGAATATTGGATGATGGATGGATACTGGATGATGGATGGATGAATGTTGGATGATGGATGGATGAATATTGGATGGATGATGGTTGGATGATGGTTCGATGAATATTGGATGATGGTTGGATGAATGTTGGTTGGTTGGATGAATATTGGATGATGGTTGGATGAATATTGGATGATGGATGGATGGATGGATGGTGGTTGGATGAATGATGGTTGGATGAATGTTGGATGATGGTTGGATGAATATTGGATGATGGATGGATGGATGGATGGTGGTTGG